CTCTCTCTCCTCTGTGTGTGTGCAGTGTGCTCTCTCTCCTCTGTGTCTGTGCAGTGTGCTCTCTCTCCTCAGTGTCTGTGCAGTGTGCTCTCTCTCTCCTCAGTGCCTCTGTAGTATGCTCTCCTGTGCAGTGTCCCCCCTCTCTCTCCCGTGCCGTGTCCCGTCTCTCTCCTGTGCAAGTGTCCCCTCTCTCTCTCCTCAGTGTCTGTGCAGTGTCCCCTCTCTCTCCTCAGTGACCGTGCATTGTCCTCTCTCTCCTCCCTGTCTCTGGCAGTCTCTCCTCAACCCAAACTGTCTCTCCCCTTCCCTTGTTTACATTGCCTGCAGTCAGCAGATACCCCGCACAAGCCCCGCCCCTCGACCAGCTCGTCACTTCCGCCCCCGGTTTCCCTAACAACGTGATTGACAGGCCGCTTCCAACCGTCCAACCTCCCCCTGACAGCTTATCATTCAAAGAGAACCTGTCACCAAAGATACATCCAGAAACAGGCAACTCATTGAATGATGATGATGGTGAAATGAACAACAAGAATGAGCAAAGTGATTAGTAAATAAGATCAATCTCATTTTATTTCAGCAGATTGCACTTCCTTCATGTGACTGGAGAAGTAAAATCTAATCACACAATGAATGTATTCTGAATGCTGCACACATCTGAATGAAGATATCTAAGCAAACCCGAAATGTGCTGAAAAAGATTTGGTTCCCTGAATTTATGTATTAAGTTTGCTCACCTACCACCGGCCCGAAACCAGCTGATCTTCTGACTTGCCTTTGACCTGCAGTCAATCTCCTTCTGACCTGAAGCCAGACATATTTTTTTAGGAGAAAGAAACCTCTGCAATAATTTTTGCCTGAATTTTCAAAAAATAAAGCAAAATCAATAGCTCAATGTGCTAGCTGTAAATTCTGACTTGTTTTTTGTTTTTTTTTCCTGCAGGTGATCTTCTGACTTGCATTTGACCTGCAGTTGATCTTCTGACTTGCATTTGACCTGCAGTTAATCTTCTGACTTGCATTTGACCTGCAGTTGATCTTCTGACCCGAGCAAGACATATATTTAGGAGAAAGAAACCTCTGCAATAATATTTGCCAAATTTCAAAAAATAGCCTCCTGTGCCAGATGTAAATTCTGACTTGTTTTTTTTTTTTAACTGCAGCTGACCTTCTGGCCTGCATTTGACCTGCAGTTGATCTTCTGACTTGCATTTTACCTGCTGTTGACTTCCTTATGACTTGTATTTGACCTGCAGTTGATCTTCTAATTTGTATTTGACATGCAGTTGATCTTCTGATTTGCTTTTAACCTGCAATTGACCCCCTGGATTTTATTTGACCTGCAGTTGATCTGCTGACTTACATTTGACCTGCAGTTGATTTTCTGACTTGCCATTGCCCTGCAGTTGATCTTCTGACTTGTATGTGACCTGCAGTTGATCTTCTAACTTGCCTCTGACCTGCAGTTGATCTGCTGACTTGCATTTGACCTGCAGTTGATTTTCTGACTTGCCATTGACCTGCAGTTAATCTTCTAACTTGTATGTGACCTGCAGTTGATCTTCTAACTTGCCTCTGACCTGCAGGTGATCTTCTAACTTGCCATTGACCTGCAGTTAATCTTCTAACTTGCCTCTGCCCTGCACTTGATGACCTTTTGACCTGAAGCCAGCTGTATTTTTTTAGGAGAAAGAAACCTCTGCAATAATATTTGCCTGAGTTTTACATAAAAAATAAAACACAATCAATCAAGGTGCCAGCTGTAAGTTCAGCTGATCTGTGAGATGAAACCTTTCCGGGCATAGAAAACTTTATTAAAAGAAAGAAAATGAGGCATGATAATGAAAATACAGCATCAATCTGCTCAAGGGCCCATGCACACCAATGGTTGGGCAAGTGCCCCATGGGGCTGGTGTGAACGAGCTCTTAGAGACCCCTTTTATATTAGATTCTTGCCCTCGGTGAACATGATGGGCGCAAACACTGTAAGGATGTTCTTTCCTCCAATAGGTAGGCAAGAGGCGGGGCAGTGGTACCGTTTGCAGAATGGCAGCCTCTGGAAAGGGTTGTCACGCCCCATAGGCAGCCCCATAGCACAGCAGTGGTGAATGGATCCTAAGAGCTATAAAAGTTATTTTACAAATCTTTTGGCATTTAGCATTAATAAGCACGATGAAGAACAGCGAATAATCATAACTCATAGCAACTATTTCCAGTTCAGCGGCTTCCAGCGAACGAGCAAATAAAAGCTGATTGGCTGCCAGGGGCTACTAGAAAACATTGCCCTGTATTCGTATTTGCTGACCCCCAGGAGTGTTAATGTCTAGGGCTGAGCCTCCCATGTGGAAATTGATTCAGGCACAGAAGTAAAGAACCATTCATTCATCTTGGTAGCCATGGCAACCTTCTTCGCTTCAGATTGGGATGCGGCATCTGCCAGTTGTGCCCTTTGCCGTAAAAAAAATCATCGTATTTCCTGCCCACCGACAGCGGCGTAACTTCCTGGGATCTCCCAGATCTCTGAACATACAAGACACGGGAGGCCAACCAGAAACAGGCCGATAATCACTGCAATGTGATCATCGGGACATCTGTGTTCTCCTCGTGGTGACAACAACGTGTCTCCGATGCCTGTAGTCACTCGCTATTGCACAGATCCCAACCTGAAAAAAAGCAATTTCAGTGAGGTGCCCTTCTCATTTCAGGCACCTCACTGAAATGATGGTAGATACCACGGGAAGCAATAGCTTCTTTGATATCTGCTGGTTTGTTTGTTTTTTAGCATTCTGACAGCTGCTGCCGGAAGAATAAAAAAAAAAAACAGCATAGGAATGAAAAAGCTAGATTGCTATTGGCTATTTCAATTTGCAATATCCAATAGCAAGCTGGCTATTGCACCCGCCCTCATGCGTTGAAGTGATTGGCACCGCAGCCACGCTCCCTGGCCGCAATGCGATCGGCTGCATGGGAACGCAAGGCACATCAATCAATGCGTGCGGTTCGGTCCGAAAAAATTTTGCAAGCACTATTTTTTCGGGCCGGACCGCAGGCATTGATGTGCCTTGCGTTCCCGTGCGGCCGGTGTTTCTGGCTGAGGATGGTGTGAACAAGGCCTAAGGCTAAGTTCACACTAGGA